ACAACTGTGACTTTAAAGAAGAATGGGAGCCTTTTATAAATTATTTAAGAAGACAACAAAATGAACTGGACTCTTGGCAGGTTTTGAATAAACACAGAAATTTATTGAGGATTAACATAGTAGACAGATATAAGGATGTATACAATTTCACAATATGCAGAGGTTAACGTGTTTAGAAATCAGAGAGGAGCTGAGGGATTCTTAGGGGGGAGGGAGGGTTTGCTGGGGAGGTGGGAGGGGGGAATAATGAAGATTATTTGTTTTGATAATTTGTTATGTTTAAGTTGTTAATTTTTTTTTGTAAAAAAGATGGTAATCCCAAATTTTCGTCTCAGGCATCCAAAATTCTTCTTTTCTCAATGTAGCTCTTCATTAACTACTGTTACCTTCAAGTGTCCAAAATAATATTTTTCCAGTTCCTTGTGGCAAGTTTCTCTTCATTGGTTCCAACGAAGCTCAGAAACATAGTAATCCATATTTGTTTGGCTGTAAAATTATTAAAGCATTGTTATTTTTCTTTTTTTCAATCTTCTGATCATTTTAGTCTCTAGCAGATGGGAGACTTTTTCTGTTTGTATATTCATTATTCCACAAATCTCATCAGACACAGCTTTGAAAGCACATTCAATGTAAAAAACAACTATGCTTTGATCTGTCTTGTGCTCTTCTTGCTGCAGATTCCATCATCAGCTCCCACCTTTCCAGCAGCCATAAATCTGTTTCCTCAGCTACTTCCTGTTCACCGTCTGCAGGTTCTGCATCTCCCATTTTATCTGTAGCCCAATCTCCTTAACCATCTCCTTTTAAGTCCATTAACTGCATTTTAAACAGGTCTTGCATGAGTTCAAAGATCAGGGATGTTTTTTGTGTAGCCATGATTTAAGGCTGTCTTCGCTTCCCTGCATCATGTGAGACTGTAAGAAATTCCCACTTTCGTTTTCATCAGCTCAGCACAAAGATTTACAAAAGACGTAAAAAATAAGTTATATGCAATTCCAGTCCATTTTAATCTTTCCAGGCAATAAATTATTTAAACTTGAAAGAGCCCTGCCTGTTATCTGATACTTCTTTTAACCACCTGCAGCCTTTTCGCCTCTGTGTGTTATTTACCGTATTTTTTGCTCTATAACACGCACCCGACCATAACACGCACATACCGTATTTTGCGCCCCATAGGACGCTCGGGCCCATAGGACGCACCTAGTTTTTTGGGGGGGAAATAAAGGGGGAAAAATTATTTTCCCCCCAGGTGTGGGGCTGGAAGAACCAGGTCGGGGAACAGCGGGAAGGCGCGCTCTGCCTCCCCGCTGTCACACATAGTTTTTAGAGGAGGAAAACAAGAAAAAATATATTCTACACGAAACAGTGGATGTATGATTGTTGTGGTTCATGCTATGGCCACAGACATGTGATCTGACAGTGAGTTTGGAGTAGCCCAATGCAAAAATCCTGAGGATCCATGTGGATCCATGCTTTGTAACCACGTTTTTGCACCACTGCGGCCCCAGGCAACAGTGGGTGCGTGATTTTTTTGGTGCAAGATGTAGCCATGGACATGCTATGTGATCTGATGGTGAATTTGGGGTGACCCAGTGCAAAAATCCTGAGGATCCATGTGGATCCGTGCTTTGTAACCACGTTTTAAGTGGGGAGGGAAGGAAAAGCACTCAAGGGACAAGGAGCACGCGTGGGGTGTGTGGAGAAGGATGCTGCTAATAATGCAGGTGAGGGGTATAAGGGGAGAAGGCTCCTCTCCTCTCCCGCTTTGCTCCTTTAAAGCAAGCAGGCTCTGCTTTTCTCCCTCCTCCCCGCTCATCCCCGGCTTAGCGAGCTGAAAACTTTGCTGCTATGTAGCGAGCTGAGTGGGGAGGAGAGAGGGACAGAGAGCCTGCTTGCTTTAAAGGAACCAACTGGACAGGAGCTGCTTACACTCATGTAAGTGGCTCCTCTCCTCTCCCGCTTTGCTCCTTTAAAGAAGCAGGCTCTCTGTCCCACTCAGCGGCTCTTCTCCCGCTTTGCTGTTTCAAAGCGAGCCACGAAGGAGGGAAGGCAGGAGAACCATGGATCCTCTGCTCATGACTGCAGCAGATCCCCCCGCCATCTGTAGGCATTCCCTCCATAACACGCACAGACATTTCCCCTTACTTTCTGGGAGAAAAAAGTGAGTGTTATGGTGCAAAAAATACGGTAATTGGCAACTAGAAAATCCAGTTTCTTTCCAGTTGGTGCTCGAGCCAGTATATTTGCCTCGCTGTAGACGTTCTCTCCTCCCCAGAGATTTTTCTCCCTCCCCATGATGATGATTGTCTTCTTCAGAACATCTGAGGCTGTGCCCTTCAACACCCCATTTAGTTCAAAGGGGACTTATCTCCTGAGCACCTCTCATTACTACTTAATTATCTCTGCTAGCGGGAGCGCTAGCAGACGATATCTCAATTTGGCATATTTCCAATTGGAATTTTGTTTTTGTTTTGAGGGAATTCTTGGTTCAAAAGAAGGAACTGTAAGAAAGGGAGAGCAGGGGCCTTGTTGCTGGTTTGGAGTTTATCTGCTAAAGTGGCTACTCATGCATCACCAAAATGAGCAAGGCTTATATGTGCTAATTTTTATATATTTAGAAATAATTTACTGTTAATAAAACTGGAAATTCATCTCAAACCAGTTGCTGGCATAAGACTGTCCTGAGAGACAATGGAGTGTGCCTCCAGGGGTGAGGTGAGCTGGAGAATCACAGTGCCAGCTGTGGCTGCAGAGACCGATAACTTTGCTGTGTCAAGTACCAATTATGAACCTCATGTAAATTAGATTAGAGGCTGGACTGAAGCAGGTGTCCACCCACCCTGTCCCCATACAAAAAAAATTCTCAGTAGCAGAGCTCAATCTGCTGAAACTGCCCCCTGCATACAGAAGCCTTCTACACCATTCACATGCCGGCAGACCTGACCTGCCACACTTTTTTAGTGTTTCAGTTTTGAAAAGTTGTATCCCCCTCCCCCCATGAAATAAGATATGTTAGAAAAAGCAGGAAAACATGCTGCTCACTTTTTTCCCTTTTCCTTTGGGGTCGGGTTGGAGACTGCTAGGATTTATTTATTTGTTATTTTTTTCCATGATGGGGACTCAGTGCAGTTTACAAATAAAAATAAGAAAAACAGAGAGAACAAATGCAAGTAAATATTGAAAGAATATTTCATATATGTATATATACAGTATTTCATACATACACATAAACATATCATACAATCGCAGAGTTGTAAGGGGTCCCAAGGGTCATCTAGTCCAACCCACACAATGCAGGGATCTCCACCTGCAGTCCCTCCTGATCCAAAGGCTCTTCTTCAGCCAGCGGAAGGCCGGTCCGGAGGGGCGAAGCCTGGCGACGCCTCCCTGGTCTTCCTTTTGTCCGCCCTTCCGTCCAGGCGACCCGGAAGTTGGCGAGGCTGCCTCCCTCTGCGCTTTGCCGCCGCGGCTCTGCGGAGGCGCTTCCTGCCTCTCCCGGAAGTGCCTGACGCCACTTCCTGCTCCGCCGGCCGGGGTGCCGGCCGACTCTCCTGAGGGCCCGGAGCCATGAAGGCCATCATCCAGCGCGTCGCCCGGGCCAGCGTGACAGGTGCCCCGCGTCCCCCGCTCCCCTCCGGGTCTCCGGCTCACGGGGAGCGCGCCTGGGCTTGCCGGCTGAATCAGGCTGGCCGAGAGGATTCGCCTGGCCGGGGGGGGAGTGGGGAAGGGGCCGGGGAAGAGCCTGGGCTCCGTCTCCAGGGGCCTCTCTGGACAGGGCGGGGCAGAGTCCCTGCCTGGAACCCTCCAGGGCTGCTGGCACTCGGGGTAGAGAAGCCTTTCTCAACTTTGGCGGGGGGGGGCTGGATGCTGTTGAACTACAACTCCCATCATCCCTAGCTAGCAGGGCCGGTGGTCAGGGATGATGGGAGTTGTAGTCCCACAACATCTGGGAACCCCCCCCCCCCCAAGGTTGAGAAAGGCTGAGGAACGCAAGACTAAGCTAAATGATCAGACTCAGTATCACGTAGCTTTCCATGTTAATAAGAAGTTTAATTTTCTTCATGTGGGCCTTAGTAGAGACAACAGTTTCCTATTCTGCCACAGATGTTAAAATGTTTAGTTTAGCTGTTGCAAGGATCACTTACCACTGTAGTCTTAAAGGGCTGCTGTGCTCTCTACATTTCATTTCCCACTGACCTCGGTATAAGGCAGCTTCCCATCTGTGTTCCTAATAGTGTAGGAAGTTCCTTGAGGACATGCCCTGCCTTTTAATCCCTGTGGTTGTGTCTGCATTGTTTTGGCAACAGGGAGCTGGCATGGAAGAGTTAGTTAGTTAGTTAGTTAGTTAGTTAATTAATTAATTGCATTTGTATATCGCCCTTCATCCGTAGATCTCAGAGTGGTTCACAACATAAAATTACAATATATAAAAAAAGACAAAATCAGACCAATAACAACCCACCCACTCCCAATTTCCCCCCTGTTTTTCTCCTTGTGTGAATAGGGCAAGCTGCTGGATAGCAGCAGTTAGAGACTTGATAAGCACAGGGTTGCATCCATATCATCTAAGCAGACAATGTCCTAGAAGTCGTCATGTAAGGAGCATCCCAAGGTGCCATAACGTTTAAGGGAGCAATCTTTAAATCCCAGCTTGGGCTTGGTGGGCCTGAACTGAATGGTGGAGCTGTAGCCATGGTTGAAGCTGGGAGAAAGGCAATAAAGCTGCCATTTTTCTTGCTGTGTGAGCTACAGGCTTTTGCAGCAGAATGGCCAGAATTTGCCCAGTAGCTGGACTGGCTTAGGATCCCTTGGGTTCTTGGCCCATCTCCCACCCTGGGGGTACTGGTGTACCCCACCTTTTAGGACAAGCCCTCACAACACATTTGAGCATATTGACAACTAAATGCATCAAACTAAAAAAAACCCCTTCCAACTCTATGATCCTGTTATCTTTTTGCCCATGCCTGTACTGACCTCAAAAGTTGTAGTTTTGTTTATATTATGTTTTTATGCTATGTTTTACTGCATACTACATATATATTAATGTTAGGCCTATAGACAATTTAAAAATAAATAAAACATAGCAGGCCAACAACAAAAAAGCTATAAAGTCTCTAAGGCCTCTTACGAATTCAAGAGTTATAATAATGAAATTGATGTACAGTGGGCTTCACCCACAGCATTGCTTCGAGCCTGTTAGGTTAGGCAGGGTATAAATGTAAGAGAATAAACAAATATGCACTATGTATTGTTGCCAGATTGATTAAGTATGAATCCTATGCATAAAATACCTCATGCAGAAGGAGAATTTTGATAGATGTATTTTTTCTTGCCATTCTAAGCACTGTGAGAACTTTATTAATAAAATGTCTCCCTTTGTTTAGCTGTAAGAGTACTCTGCTTCTGTATTGAATGAAGCAAAAAACCCCACAAGAATGTGCACAAAAAAGCTGATTCATAAATTGAATTATATATGTGAATTATATATTCAGCATAAAATGCTAATAAGCAAAAAACAGACAGAGTAGCTAGCATAAAGCACCCATTTCCAAATACATCCTTCATCAGTGCCAAACACATAAAACAAGAATTAATATCTGTTCAGTATACCATCTATAAACATTTTAAAACCATGGGACTATGCTGATATAAATAAAGCAACTATTACATACCAATCTTGGGCCAGATCACATAGCCATTAAGTAAAAAAATAAGTGTTTCCAATAGCGTATGTATGCTTGTTCTTTGGGTCTTGGGGAGGAACACAATGACTGTTTTCTACTTACACTGTCGGACGCAGTATGGCTCTGAATAGCAGTTCTGGGAATCAAAACTGGGAAGAATGCTGATGTGCTCAGGTTTGGCTGGCACGACTCCTATAAGCATTTCATTGGTCACTGTGAGAGCAGGATCCTGGACTAGATGGGTCTTTCACTAGTACTTAAGGGACAACAAACCACTGGCAGTAAGTTGGTTTCTTAGAATCAGAAACTTTTAAAACTGCCTATAGTTTGCTAGGATATATAATTGCATGTGGCAAGTTTAACCTATTTTTTAAAATTCACCTACAGTTGGTGGGGAGCAAATAAGCTCCATTGGGCAAGGCATTTGTGTCCTGCTGGGTATCTCAGTGGAAGACACTCAGAAAGAGATTGAACACATGTAAGTCAATCTAAAGTATAAAACTTTTTCTTTGTATTGTGCTTATATAAATTTTACTAAATTTTTAAGAATTTTGCATACAAATGCTAATTTTGTTTGTTTGTTCACTCATATGAAATAGCCAGTCTGGCTTCTAGTCAGGCTTCTGAATTAACTAGCAGTACGCTTCCTGATGATGTTAGTTACTGAGCTAGGATATAAGGGCTCAGGCAGTCCTTAGAACAGCCTTTCTCAACTTTGTATCCCTAGCTATTGTTGGACTACAACTCCCATCATCCCTGGTCACTAATCCTGCTAGCTAGGGACGATGGGAGTTGTAGTCTGACAGCATCTGGGGACCCAAGGTTCAGAAAGACTTCCTTAGGGTATCCTGGACCCAAGTTGTTCAGAGCTTTGTATATTAATACAAGACTTTGAATTTGGCCTGGTAATGTGTGTGCAGCCAGTGCAGATGTTTTAGTAGAGGTGCATGCTGTCAGCTATTTGTGTCTCATCAATCTAGCTGCTGCATTCTACATTACCTGGAGTTTCTGGACCAGGCCCAAAGGCAAACCCACATAGAGCACATTGCCGTAATCTAGTCTTCAGTTTACTAATGCATGGACTACAGTGGCCAGGCTATCCCAATATGACTAGCTGGCAAACTGGATGAAGCTGGGAAAAGACACTACTGGTCACACAGATCACTTGGGTTTCTAATTACACAGGAATACCCTCTTGCTATATATCTGCTCCTTCAGCAGGAATGCAACTCCATGCAGAACAGGCAGTTGTGGCTAGTCCCTGCATTAAAGCACCTAGTCCATGATTTTCACAGCCGTTCCCAGTTCAGCTGGTAAGGAGAAATAGAACTGCGTGTCATTGGCATATTTATTACATCATGCTCCAGCCTAATAACCACTCACAATGGCTCATGTAGGGGTTAAATATTACTGGGAACGAAAGAATGTCTGTGAAACTCCATAGTAGAAGTGCTGGGGGATGAAGAGCAGTCCTTGACTGCTACTCTCTGGACCCAACCATGCAGGTAGGAACAAAGCCACTGTAATGCAGTGATTCCAAAACCCATTCTGCACAGTTGGTCTAGGACGATGCCATGGTCAATGGTACCAAATGCTGTTAGGCAGTAAGAGTAGCAGGGCCACACTCCCCCCACATCACTCTCTTGATAAAAGTCATCCATCAGGCGACCAAGGCCAATTTCATTTCTGAAACCAGGCCTGAACTCAGGTTGAAATAGATCCAGATAAACCTTTAATTTTCTAGATATGATGACAAACTATGGAATCTTCAAGGTCTATGAATCTTTTCTTTATTCCATATTTTAAGGCTCTGGTTCCCCAACCCCGCTTCATATTTATGTGGAATTTCTAAGAATGATCTTAATGATCTTATGAATGATCTTATTTTGAGACAGGGACCTTTCTTGTCTTTTGGTTTTCAACTTAGGGTTAGAAAGATTTTAAACCTGCGTGTGTTTGAAGATGAAAGTGGCAAACACTGGTCTAAAAGTGTAATGGACAAGCAGTACGAAGTGCTCTGTGTCAGCCAGTTTACTCTTCAGTGTATCCTGAAAGGAAACAAGCCAGACTATCATATGGCAATGCCTACAGATCAAGCAGAGACTTTCTACAACAGTTTCGTAGAACACCTTCGCAAATCATACAAGCCAGAGCTCATTAAAGGTAAGGCCAAATTAAAGAGTTGGATAAATGGGAAAAGCTTCCTACAGCACAATCCTATACATTTCTATTCAGAAGTGAGTCCCACGGAGTTCAATGAGTCTTACTCCGAGGTGAATATGTGAAGAATCTAAATATACAATAAAACATGTTTGCCTTTTGGTAGCTGCTACTTTTATTTTGCCTTTTCCTATCAGTTAATGGGATAATTATTTCTTTAAATATGTGGATAAGGACCAGGAAACGTACAATGGCTCCAGAACAAAAACAAGTAGCCTTTTTGGTCTGTTAAAACAAAATTCACAGGGACACTTGAATAACATTGCTTTGTTAATAAAGTAGAGCATTTGCATATGCCGTATTTTTCGCTCTATAAGATGCACCAGACCACAAGACGCACCTAGTTTTTGGAGGAGGAAAACAAGGAAAAAAATATTCTGAATCTCAGAAGCCAGAACAACAAGAGGGATCACTGCGCAGTGAAAGCAGCGATCCCTCTTGCTGATCTGGCTTCTGGGATAGCTGCGCAGCCTGCATTCGCTCCATAAGACGCACACACATTTCCCCTTACATTTTAGGAGGGGAAAAGTGAGTCTTATAGAGCAAAAAATATGGTAGATGTGCTGGATGGGAAAATGAGTGGAGAGACAAGACAGAAGCGAGTCACTGCAGATTGCAAGAGGGGGAGGTCAGAAAAGTGTTGCAGGAAAAACTGAACTTGTGAAATGACAAGCCTGCTTCTCCTTTCTGCCCCTCTAAAGCCTGCTTGAATTGAGAGCTCGGTGTGTGCTCTGCCATAATATTGCCTTGGAACCCTGGCGTCTGAGAGCAACACATAGGCATGAACCCTTAGCTGACTAGGGCTAGCAGTAAGGCTGAAGGAAAGTAACTAGACTGTTGCTTGATTTCCATCAGCTTCACATAGGTCATCTGCACCCAATTCCTCTCCCTCACAGAGTAAAGGACTGGTGTGTATGTATGAGCTTGGCTCCAGAGAATGCGTTTCCTGAGGCAATTCCCTGCTTTAGCTATGACCTCCCCCCACCTCGATCTTCTTCTTGTCTTCATGAGAACCACCAATGTTTGCAATAACTTTTAGGTTACTCAAAACTTTCAGGCTTCATGTGTTCTCTCTCTCTCTCTTTAAATTAAAATATGAGAAAAAGATGTTTCCAGGTCCAAGCTCAGTGTTAGCTTAGTTGTTTTGGTCTTAAAACGGTAATGGAGGGAAGCTTTTGTGTTGTTTAGAATGGTGCCCCCAGATTATACAGAGGACCACTGGAAGACAGGACAAGATTCAGTCTTGCACCAGTGGCTGTGATGGACCTTCCTCTCCCTCTCCAGCAGTCCTATGTCACCCAGTCTGCATCAGAAGTTCCCCCAACCTCTGGGGGCACATGGGAGACTGCTGTGATGGAGAAGAGCAAAGGACATTCCTGTTTGTGTGTGCAGTAGTCTGTTGCATAAGTGGGACATAACAGTTGGATATCACTCAGCAAAGCGAAGATATTGCCTTAGATATACTAAAAACAAGTGATCCATGCAGTTAATAAATTAATTTATTAAAAGAATTTACATATACGATATTGTCTTTTGTTTCATAATTAATCAGTTCATGTAGTTATCTGGAAATTTATGTATGTATCTTTGTACTAGATTCTTTGCAATTTTGGAAGTATTTTCTCCAACCCTTCTGCACTCTTGTCTATGACAAAATGTGAGGTGGGTCAGAGGTAGATCAGATCAACACTAACCAATATTGTTTGCTTTCTTTTCATGGACTAACAACTGGTTATATATCTTCAGAAAATTCTGGCACTTGATTGTATGTTTAATCCTGTTCCTGAAAAACTAACTTCCAAATTAATTTGCTTATAGATATTGGGGGGAAAGCAAATGTTGAAAGAATCCCTGTATCCCTTCCCCATCTCATTAGAAAAGAAGCAGTTGGAGATTTGGAATGGCAGTTGGTTGGCTGGGAAAGCTTCAAGTCACAAGAAAACCTTGCTCAAAAGTTAGGAAAAGGGGACAACTCAGTCGGTAAAGCACGAGACTCTTCATCTCAGGGTTTAGGGTTCAAGCCTCACGTTGGGCAAACGATTCCTGCATTGCAGGGGGTTGGACTAGATGGCCCTCATGGTGATTTCCAACTCTGCAATTCTATGAAACATGTAGCTTGGCCCTAACTAGAGATCTCTTGTGCATTTTGGAGACTTCTGCCATATAAAAAGGCATCACTTCATCCCTTGACAATGCTCTATACCTTTCTTTAGAAGTAGCATATTACCACCATGCCATTCTGTTTAATATTGTCATGTTTTATAGGAAGCATTTGTGCTTGAATGGGAGGAAATAAATCAGTAGATAGAGAAAAATGTTATGATTCAAAATCCTGATTGGCAGTGCAAAGATATAATCACTTACCATTTTTCCTCTAGAAAGGAGCAGTGCCTGGTAGGGTTTAAATCAATTTCTAAAATGTCAGCTTCTTGTGACCTACTTTGTATTCAGTGCAATGTAGTTACAATTGAGATAATGATCTGCTGAATACGTGGATTGAAGCTTTTAGACATAAACATGTTAAAATAAAAGTTCTTGTAAACTGTCAAGTCTGAAAACTAAAGCATCAAATGGAACTCTTCTTCAGATTCTGTTATGATTAAGAACCAATCTTTAAAACGTATCACCAGGTAGTTGTGGAGGAATTATATTCTTAGTTTACTTACTAAAATCTTTGCCAAGACACCAGCATCTTCAGCTTTTTTATTACTGTTAAAAGATTTGTAGCTCTTAAAGTCAAAAAGAAAGGGGGAGTAGTAGTATATGAGAAATATAAATACAATGCATAAACTTTTAATTGAAGGAGCAATATTGTAAGTTTGGCAGAAGGAAAACTGTACTGCCACCTAGTGGTCACTTGGCCAACAGCATAGCATCTTAGGCTACCGGTAAGTGAAAAAATATTTCCTTGGAAAGAAACCTCAGCCTGCAACTTTACTGTTTTATCAATGGTTACATTAGACAAGGTTTCAAGGGCTATGGATGTATTCAGGCAAAAATTGGCAAGAAGATGGATATCCCTGTAATTCTTTGCGACCCCAAGAATGGGGGAAATGTTCTTCCAAACAGAGTCCCATACCTACAAAAAATGTAAAGAAAAGGAAGGTACCTTTTATCATATGTGGTGGTCATGTAAGGCAATAAAGGCTTTCTGGGAAATTATATATAATGAACTGAAAAAAATGTTTAAAATAACCTTTGTTAAAAAAAACACAGAAGCCTTTTTATTTGGAATTGTAGGTACTGACATCCCAAAGGAACAGAAAAGACTTTTTATGTATGCAACAACAGCAGCATGGATGTTACTAGCCCAGATAAGGAAAGAAGAGTCCCTATCAGAGAGGAATGGCAAGCCAAGCTGCAAAGACTCTGCCGAAATGGCAAAACTGACCGGAAAGCTCAGGGACCAAGAAGACAAAAACTTCAAGAAAGAACGGGGGGGGGGGTGTTATAATTTATTTAGGAGACCCCTGTAAGCAGATGAAAACATTAGCAGGATTTAATCTCACTTGTAATGTAACAAATACTATGAACAATATGGATAGATATAAAATATAGATTATGAAATAATACGCACTTGAAAATGACGGTGGAAGTCTCAAGATTCAGAGAAATCTCTTTATATGGCTATGTATTTGGCATTGTTATAAATTTATATTTGTAAAATCAAATAAACACAATTTTTAAAAAAGGGAAGGAGGGGAAACTGAAAGGGAAGGAGGCAGTATTTGAAGCTGTTATTGCGAAGGCAGACACCACTGTTACAGAGAAGCTAGAGGAGGGAGTGTTCTGCTATTGGAGGGGAAACTGAAGGGGAAGGCAGGCAGGCAGGCAGCAATGATATTGTCCCTCGCAGTTTGAAGACTGTGACTTGCCTGCTCAATTTATTTGAAACTGTTATCACGATGTGGATTTAATATTGATTTTGGATTATATATAGCCACCCAGAGTGGCTGGGGAAACCCAGCCAGATCGGTGGGGTATAAATAATAAATTATTATATATATCAGTATTTCACCCAGCCCAACTGCTATAATCTTAGGCTAAAAGGATATAGAAAAGATAGTTTCAAAACAGGTCCTTTGGCACACTCTTCCAACCACGGGAGATTCTTTAGGCTGGTAGGTGTCTGCCTGGGCTCCCATGCCCACAACACATCCAGGTGGTAAACGACCCTTTCCTTTGAAGTCTGTTTTTTTATACAGTCCCAGGCAGCAAAATGCCAGTCTCTAGCCATCAGTGTGCCTCCCTTCTATGTTCTCAGCAGTGAGCCAAAGTCTATGTCCAGGTGCCGGCTCCATGCCTGGGTCAAGGCAGACCTGTCCTCCCGTTGACTCCATTATCAAGGCCACCTGGAAGAACCCCTGTCTTTTGCCACGTCTTATAATGGGGTTAAATATATAGCAAAGAAGCATTGGAAGCAGGTGCACTGCCACTATAAAAACCAAAGGTGGTTCTTAGGTAAATGTCCTCTTCTTCCCACTCAACTCTAATTTAATTTTTCAGATGGCAAATTTGGTGAATATATGCAGGTACATATTCAGAACGATGGACCTGTGACTATAGAACTTGAGTCTCCTGCCCCTCCCATTGACCCTAAGCAGGTAAGTTACATTGATGCTTTCCTTCATCTGACATGTATCTTCTAAAAACAAGACTATGATCTTGTGTATATATTACTGGTGTCATTTCCAGTTTTTGCTTTATATGCTAATATAGAAAATCATAGATTCCCACCCACTCATGTATCAATACAGTTTATGATATGTTTGTAAATGGGTCCATATGTGAAATGCCCTTGATAGAACCTGAGTTGCATGTGAAGATAATTGGAAAGAAAATGCCATGAGAAAGTGCTATTAAATTGAGAAGATCAAACTATTAAATTGTTGTTTAATGGTAATAGTTGTTGTAGTAATGGACCTGGTATTTAATGGATGCCCATAACATCTACAATGTGGATTGGGATTGTTTCTGAAAATTAGTACTACTTTTGTGTTTATTAGTACTACTTTTGTGGCATCTGAGAACAGAAATATTTGACATGTAGCCATATATTTCAAAAGAGATGCAATTCATCAGCTTCAGATTTTATAAAACTTTCCCAAAACTGTTAATCATATTTTGTGAAATTAAAATATTTATCTAATAGATCCAAAGACAGCAGGTGTCATTATGTTTCATTTCATTAGTTCACCCACTTTTAACTCTCTTTTTTTTTTACATGCAGTAAAAAGAAATGCTTGTGTGGTCTCTGTACCTAAGTCTCTCTGTCACCATATGCTTCTTTTTGTTCTATTTTTATTTCTCATTGCTGCTTTTATGTTCCTCTTATACTGTTTGCATATCTGTAACACATTGCACACAAATCAGTACTCTTTTCCTGTAGGAAAAGAGAACAAATAAGGGAATGATGTACAGGTCTCACAAGCAAGCTGAGCGTTTTTACTCAGATTTTCTTGAAATGGCATATTGTCCCCTATCCTTTTGAAAGCGACTACAGTGGTGCTTCGCAAGACGAAATTAATCTGTTCCACGAGTCTCTTCGTCTTGCGGTTTTTTCGTCTTGCGAAGCACGGCTATTAGCGGCTTAGCGGCTATTAATGGCTTAGCGGCTTTAAGAAAAAGGAAACAAACTCGCAAGAACTCGCAAGACGTTTCGTCTTGCGAAGCAAGCCCATAGGGAAATTTGTCTTGCGGAACGACTCAAAAAACGGAAAACCCTTTCGTCTAGCAAGTTTTTCGTCTTGCGAGGCATTCGTCTTGCAGGGCACCACTGTACATTCCTTGTAAAAGAGAACTGACTTAGTGTGGCAAGATGAACCAGGAAGTTCACTTGAAATCTCAGGTCAGCTGTGGTTTCACTGAGTAGTTTGCCCAAGGTTACTTGGCAAAATGAAAATGAAAACAATGGCCTGCCTTACAGGGGTTGGGGCTTTGGGTATAGGTTACTGACATAATGTGTGCAAAGCAATTAAGAACACTATATGCATACAAAGGCTGTAAATCTACAGTTAGTTCTGTTGAATTTGTTGGCACTTACTTCCAAGTAAACATGCTTAGTATCAGTGTGTAAGTATTAAGGCCAGAAGTGGACCCTTTCAGAATTGTAGATGATGATAGTATATAGGGATACCAATTGGCTTTCTGAGGACTAAAGATTCCTGACCCAAGCCTTCCATTATGCAGTCTTTATTAAAACAGATACAGGAGCAGTATAACACCAAACGGTGGTTTGAAGTTGCATGAATAAGCAATTCAGAACATTCAGGCTCTCCTACTCCCCCTCCTTCTTCCATTGCATGCAATAATTCTCTTCCTTCTATCCTGGTGTGGGGGAAACCATGCCTTGCTGTTTGATGTGAACTGCTAATTTGTGATCTGCTTCAAAGGCAGTGGACATCTGTTTGTGAGGTTGAAGAGGGAGTTTGTGAATCTAAAGTTCCCAGCTGGCCTGATCTGCCCTATACAAAGACAGAGCAACAAGGAGCCTCTTAGCATAGGTGTGTGATCCATATAGGCACAGGTAATTGCCACCCTCAGTAGGACCTACTGAATTACAATTAAAAGGTAAGGTCCAAGCTATCCATATTGATACTCTGCTGGGCCCTAGGAGCCCATGGATACTTTTGCAACCTGGAGAAAACTAGTGGGCACCACAGTCTTGTATGCACTCACACCACTGCTCTTTCACCAGCAATAAAGCTTGGAGAAATATCATTTTTCAAGCCTAATGTGGGGAGGAATTCTCCTGGAGAATGTAGCACTAATCTTCCTCCCCAGTGGCAATATCCAGGAAAAGCACCTCCCCCTACAATCACAGAATTAGGCTAGAAAAAAGCTTTAATTGGATCCAGTTATTGGAACCAATAAAAAGGCTTTTTTTCAACTCTTAATTGCAGCAATAAGGGCAATTCTAGATGGGAGTAGTAGCTGGGGAAAGAAAGAGTAATCCTTTACTTCCTAGCTCTGTCTCCACCTGTAAGTATCCTCCTCAGATGTAAGTCGGCTTCAAACAAGCCTTGTGTTGGCCAATTGCAGCATGTAGCTGTTCTCAGTGAGGTTGGGGGTCACAGAGTTGTAGAGTTGGAAGCAACCCCAAGGGTCATCTAGTCCAACCCCCTGCAATCCAGGAATCTCAACTAGATCATACTTGACAGATGGCCCTCCGATCTCTGCTGTAAAACCTCCAAGGAAGGAGAGTCAGCACCTCCTGAGGGTGTCTGTTCCACTGTCAAACAACTCTTGCCGTCAGAAAGCTCTTCCTGATGTTGAGTCAGAATCCCATTTCTTGTGACTTGAAGCCTTTGGTTCAGGTCCTAGCCTCCAGAGCAGGAAAAAAACATGCTGGCTTCATCTTCCATGTGACAGCCCTTGAGATATTTGACATTGGCTCTCATACCTCCTCTCAGTCTCCTCTTTACCAGGCTGAACATAACCAGTTCCCTCAATTGTTGCTTAGAAGGATCATCTTGGTTGCCCTCCTCTGCACGCGTCCCAGCTTGTCAACACCCTTCTTAAATTGTGGTGCCCAGAACTAGACACGAACATTCCAGGTGTGGTCTGACCAAGGCAGAATAGAGTGGGAGTTGTATTTTATTTAAATTGTAGTAATTGGGCGGAATTCAACATTGTTCTATGGTGAACGTCACATTAGTGTGAAAATTGCAGCTTGCCAGACAGAATGATCCCCCCTCCCTCCCCCATGCACTGTTCTCACTCCCCACGAGCCAATTCTGGGGAGCTCCTGGGATGAAAGGGGGCAAAAACCTCGTTGTGCAAGTAGAAGTCCTCATGCAGTTGGATTTGTTCTAAAGTCACTTCAATGGCTCTATGTTCTTTTTGTAAAGTGTTTTGACTTTGAGGTGTTTTACAATCAAGTGGGATATAAATTGTTTGAAATAAAATAAATAACTATAATTCAATTTAGTTCATGCTTTCTGATTCTGCTTTTTTGGCTAATTGAAAACTATGGTTTAACAATTCAAATATACCACAGTTAAGTTTCCTTAACCATGGTTCATTGCAATGCGAGAATGAGCCCAAGTGTTTCTTCTTTACTACTTAATATGATGGCACTGAGCACACGATTGATTTTACAGCATATTGAGAAGGCGTGATGTTGTGGCAAAGCCTCGGCATTGTTGGCTGCTAGAGTGAATGAAATTGTGGACACAGTGGCAGTCCTTGTTCATATCCAGTGAATGCATCTGACTTGATTTAAGAGCATTAACCAGCACCACAGTCTTATCCATACTTGGGAGGAAGCCCCCTTGAACAATACATCTGGGCGCAAGGGTGTGGTTTAGAGGGTGGAGTGTTGGACTAGGATCTGGGAGGCCAGGGTTTGAATCCCTACTCAGCCACCAAGTTCACTGGGCGCCCTGGGGCAGTCACTTCTTCTCAGCTAACCTACCTCACAGGGTTCTTGTGGGGATTAAATGAGGGGGGGGGCATGTACATCACCCAGAGTTCCTTGGAGGAAAAGGTGGGATATAAATGCAACAAACAAACAAATATGCCTAGGCTTGAATCGCCCCACACATTCTCGCCCCTTCAATGGTAGGGAAATTCTCTTCAAGTCCACCCAAAGAAATTAGATTGGGGGGGGAGGCTGGTCTGCTGCTTTAAAGAGATCCATCTTGAATGAACATTTTGAACTCATTGAAGCTTATGTGATTTACGTTCTCTGTGATTGGGCCTTACCTTGGTAACTGTTGCCAAGGGAGCCATGTACACAAAGAACAGTCATTCTCCATGTTTTAGGAGGCTCTTTTAATTTTTCTCTTTCAAAGCAACCCAAACTCTCTCATTCTGATGAGATTCTTTTAATCTATTCTACTGTGTTACTGTGTTTCAAAGACATAATTTGCTTCCCTGTGAAGTTCACACCAATTGAAATAGATTTGAAAGAAAAAACTCTTCATGGTCCTTCTGAAGGACTTTATATCTAACTGGAAATGCTTCATTGTGACAAAGAGTGATGTTGTAGGACTTAAATGATGATACCTGGGGGCAGAGGAACCTCAAGGAGGACTGCATGTACTGAAAATGTACCACACTCGCTTAATACTCCTAGAAGAGGAATACTAGTTTGAATTTTTAATGCCCATTCTGCAATAGAAGTCTTAAACTGATCCCATTTGTTCTTATTGTCGGTACTGAAATCAATCCTCTACTATTTCTGACCCATATTTTGGAGGTGCAGCCTGAGATAAGGAAGCAGGGAGGTGCTGAACTGTCAATGAGTCTGTTGTGCTTTTAAACATCACACATCTTTATGCAGCTGAATAGGTGGTAATATCATTTTAATTATGTGTGATCATTGCCAGTTAATTTGTGCTTTGAGTAGGGGTTTATGTTATCAGTTCACAGGAACATCTTGACTGGAGTAAATTTTGAAGTTACCGGTAGTTTAAATCATTTTTAGTTTCTTGACAGGGCACCTGGGGGTGGATTTGTCCGCTGAGAACATAGATAGGCAAATAATGTCTTGGTGTAATGACTCCACAGTAATGTCAGCTGCCTGTTACACTAATTGAAATCACTTTGCATGGTGATGTCTTAATGCAGTGTTTCCCAACCTTTTTTGGGCAAAGGCACACTTGTTCCATGAAAAAAATCTCGAGGCACACCACCATGCCAGATGGGGAAAGGTCACTTTTTACTTATGTAAAAAAATAAAAAAAAAAAATAGTAACAGCATAGAAGGTAATGGTTAGGCTAGCATCCCTCTTCCAAATATGCTAGGTTTTTATTTGCAGGGACTGTTCTACATGGGAAAGCATTCAGCACTGTCATTCTCCCATCTGCCATCTGAATTGGTACTATTCTGGGTCAACTTACTCTGCTGCATGTGTAGATGAAAATGGCACCAAGTGTGGGGGGTTTTGGCCCTCTCTGAAGTGCTTCTCTGCAAGATATGGTAGGATGTGTTACACAAGTAAACACTTGCAGGGTATGATAAAGAGAGCATTCCAAGAGTGACTTGGGATGCTATGAAGATGCTGCAAAAGTGGGCATGTGATTATTGCACGCCTTAAGCTAATGCTGAATACCCAAGAGTGTACAACTGGACTGCTGAATCCTAACTGGGTGTACTGAAAAGATGCTGGATGAGACCCAGACCAATAGTACCTGCAAAAGCAGTGTTATTAAAAGCAGCTTTCCCTTTGAACATCTCTTTGTTCAAAGTGCATCTGAAGGCCTAATGACCCACTGGTTCCTTAGGAGTGAGCTTTAATGCAAGGATTTTGATGTTAATCCATGGATCAGATGTGTGTGTGTGGATAATCGCATTGTTGGACAGTCCTTTCTGCCTGTTGGCCGTTAGCCAACGACCCCCTCCTCCGCCTGAATGAAATGTGCCCCGTGGGAGCGTTGGGACATCAGAACCACGAGTTATAGTTATCAGGGGCGCCGACTTATAAAAAATATTGGGGGGGCCCATACCGGGGTCCTGCCGCTGGTTCGCTCGGGTAGCCGGGAGAACGCAGTTCAAGGTGGCGGTGTTGGGGAGAGACCCTCGCTCAGGGCGCCACGAGACTTGGCGGCCGGCGGCCTATCTGGGGGGTTTTGGAGCATATTTCGGCGGAGCGATTGGGGAGGAGGGGGCTTGTTGCCGGATTCTTCAGCTGGGCCGGAGATCCGCTGCTGGGGGTCCCTGGGCCGAGTTGTGAGCACGGCCTGCTGAAGGGAGATCCAGCCGATTGCGCGACGGGGACGGCCGGGGCTCTCCGGCTAGGGCGCGCGGCTGGCTGGCTGGCGAGGGAGCAGGTGGGGAGGAGGCGGGGGTCCTCACTCTCTTAGGAAACGCACCCGCGCGCCCGATTGCCACGAAGTCTGAAGGGTGCGTGTGTGGAATTAAAAAGCAAAAACGAGATACGGGCAGGGCAGGCAAAGAGTTTTCCGCAAGAGGATGGAGGGCAGGTTGAAGAGAAAATCACTCAGGATGAGACAGTCAAATCAGCCATGATAAAATGGGCTCAGGATATTGGGTATAACATCATGTTTGAGGACTGGGAAAGGTTATGGACCACCGGAATGAAATTCACGGCATGTAATGCCTTGAAGGAAAATATTATGAAAATGATTTATAGGTGGTACATGACCCCAGTCAAGCTTGCAAAAATATATCACCTGTCTGATAATAAATGTTGGAAATGTAAGGAGGCTGAAGGGACATTCTTTCACCTCTGGTGGACTTGTCCAAAAGTGAAGGCCTTCTGGGAAATGATCTATAATGAGTTAAAAAAGGTATTTAAGTATACCTTTCCCAAGAAACCAGAGGCCTTCCTCTTGGGCATTGTTGGCCAGAAAGTGTTAAAGAAGGATAGAACTTTCTTTATGTATGCAACTACAGCAGCAAGAATACTTATCGCAAAATATTGGAAGACACAAGATTTGCCCACACTGGAAGAGTGGCAGACGCAATTGATGGACTACATGGAACTGGCTGAAATGACTGGCAGAATCCGAGATTTGGGAGAAGAAACAACGGAAGAGGACTGGAAAAAATTTAAGGACTATTTCCAAAAGCAATATAAGTTGTATGAATGTTAAAAATTTACACGATTCGGAAACTATAGCTTCAGCAATTAGATTTGGGAAACAGGAAATTATATTTTAAGTAAGAAAAGGTCAAAATCTAAGGTAATACTATGTTTAATTTAAGATATAAGTAACTGATGAAAAGTATGTTAAATTTAGAGGTATAGTATTTGAAAAGTACAAAATAAGGTACGAAACAAGGTAATAATTTGCTGATATCTTTATTATAAAGAATGCAGGGTAAGGGAGATGCGAGGAAGTCCAGTTAGTTATATAAAAAATGTGTTGAATGGTTGGTTTTCTTTTCTTCTTTTTCTTTTTTTCTTTTTCTTGTTCTTTTACTTTTTTCTTCAGTGTATGTTTCTAACTTTGTATTTGAAAACTTAATAAAATATTTATATATAAAAAAAGGGGAAATCCTTTCGCTTTTCTGGGGCTCAGGGAAGTCTCAGAGCCGGAGGTTGGGGAAGGGACCCCCTTTGCTCTGCCCTCTTCTCCCGTCTTAGATTCGCATGGGGGTCCCCGCCCGAGCTTGCCTGGCCACCGGGCCACACAAGGGCCGCGCTCTACGCGGCGCACCTTGCTAGCCGCGCAGCTGTCCTCCGCGGCTGGGCGCCCGCTGCGCTGCCAATGACAAGCGGGCGACGTCGCGGGCGGGGAAGGCGTCGCTTTCTTTCCCGATCCTGCATCCTCCCAGTCTTCCAGCCCTTTTTTGGGTTGGAAGCTCGTCTCGTTCGCCCTTCTCCTTTCTTCACCCTGCGCGCAATTTTCCTCCCTCGTCTCCCTCCCCATTTCTCCTTCCTTCCTTCCTGACTGACTGACGGGCTCGGGCTCGGGCTCAGGCTCAGGGTCGGGCTCGGGCTCCGGGTCGGGCTCAGGCTCAGGCTCGGGCTCGGGCAGCCACAGCGTCGGCGGTGTTGGCGATCAGCGGCGCGGGGGGATGGCCCTCCCGGGGAGCCGGCGCTGCTCAATGGGGTTGCCAAGGAGACAGGCCGGCCGCCCCCCTCCCCCGGCCCGGCGCCCCCCGCCGCGCCGGTGCCCGTTATCGAGCTGGTGCGCGCCGGGCGCCCTATAAAAACCGCGGACGCGCCAAGCTCCCTCTCCCGCCGCGCAGGAGCGATGCCTCTCTCTGGCTCTCCCTCCGCGCAGGCTGAGGGAGGGAGGGAGGGGCGCGTATGACCCGTCTCTGCTGGGAGACCAAACCCAGCGAGGCAGAGTCGCGCGGAGGCGCCCAGGCAGCGCTGCCGGCTGCGAGGAGGAGCGCCAGGCAGCAGCAGGAGGCGCGGCCTCTCCTCGCCGCCGCCGCCCCGCCTCTCGCCGCCCGACTCGCCCGCCTCCCTCCAGGCATCTCGCGGCACACGAGGCAACGTCTCACGGCACACTCGTGTGCCGCGGAACACCGGTTGGGAAACACTGTCTTAATGTATTCAAGGACAAGGTAAACTCAGAAGAGAAGGGAATTCATACTTTCCTTATGTCTCTGTATTGGTATCCTGACACCCTTCACAGTCATCTCCAGCTTCCAGTCTCTGCTATTAAACTTCTTTGCTTCTTACCTGACTGTAGCTCCTTGCTTGTCTATTGTTGCACACCTTTTTGCATTTATTTTTTACAAAAACAGAAACCTTTTACTCTGGTACCCTGATGTAGGCAAAATGTGAAGTTCCTTTCTCTGTCCTATTTTGAATAGTCTCTGGGGATAAAATGGACCTCAGCACAGATGTTTGGTAGTTTCAGCGTTCATTTCAGCAAAAGTAAATTGCACCCTTGTAGCTAAGTAAGTAAAGCATAACTTTTTAGAAAATTGAAAAGGTGGGGCAGAGGAAGGAAACATCACAGGACAACTGGCCCCTTAATTGTTGAGGAATACAAAGAGTATGATGTGACTCAAGTTTGCTTTTTAAAAAATGCTAATAAAGTTTTACAAATATTTCAAACAGATGCCGGAAGGGTTAACACCTGTTACTTAAGATGAATGTCCATGTTACTAAAGAAGGCTTATACTATTGGAATACTGTACACATGGTAATTTCATTATATCATGCCGTAATTTGTGTTTGTAATTCATTTTTTAAAAGACAAAATATGTCTCTTTTGCACAAATCCCAAGGTTCCGTAGCAGTAGGTGATTCTCGGCAGAAAATTAGATTTGATGCATAATCTTCCTAAGAGATGCCAAAGTTTTTTGTTTTTTGTTTTTTTAATGCAGTGGTCTGTTCAAAATATTTTCAGTGCTGCTGAGCTGCTTCAGTCTCTAGTGTGCATTTATGAAACTTCTTGTTTTGCTTTTCTTTGCAAACAGCTGGCAAAACTTGAGAAACAGCAGCAGAGGAAAGAGAAGACCCGGATGAAGGCACCCTCTGAATCAAGCAGAGAGAGAAATGTTCCCAGAAGTAAAAATGATCCTAGTGCAAGCAGTGGGGCGGAGGGGGATGTGTCTTCAGAAAGGGAACCATAACCTATGAAAAGCAGGTTCAGGTATGGACTCTTGTTTCCCAGCTAATATCTTGAACTCACTCTTTGCATGCTTCCGTTCAGGGTGAAGGGGAATTCATAGGAATGCATAGTTCCTAATATTTTCAATTATTTCCTTGGTGCTTAAAAACACTGAGCTACATCATGATCAACTCTCATATAATCCAGGGATGAGAAGAGGGTAAGTTGGTCTTCTGCAGGGATGTGGGATCTGTGGCTCTCCAGATATTGCTGGTCTACAACTTCCATCCTCCCCGACCACTGGCCACTTTCACTGTAGTTGATGGGAGTCTGGCAATATCTAGAGGGCAACAGGTTCCCAATCCCTGGTCTATTAGTTTGCCAACTGGCAGCTGCTAGTTGCTGAGATTCTTACAAACAGTGCTTGACTAGGTTGACTTCTCCAGCAAACTTCTTGCATTTTTAAGCAAAACTGTATATGACTTAGCACTAATTACTTATGCCATAACAGTTAAGAGAACTTGAGTGTATATTGTTGTTTTGTGAATTTAAAGCAAGTTAACAGATCATGGCAGATAATGAAGACTAGACCATGCAAGACCGAAGGCAGCCTGTTCCTGGCCTACTTAGCTCTATTCATGCTGGCCTCCCATTCTTCCATTATCTTCTCTCAGTCAGTTTGATATGTCTCTGCTAAATTTTGTCGACTGCTGTCACTCTTTGCATGCACTTCAAGCTTTGGGTCCTTTTAATATTCTCTTTCCAAATGACTTAAAATTTCTTCCTCCTCTTTCCTTATGCTTAGCTTTTGCTCTTTTGGCACATAATACCTGTAACAAGGTCTAAAGGCTGGTAGGCAACCCAAAATCAGCCCTAGCACACGACCAGTTCTGTTTGCATTACAGATAGTCTCGTGGCAAATCTGTTGTTTAACTTTTCCGTTGGGTTTCTTGATCCACTGCTGCACAGCTTTTTCTGGAAAAGTAAAAATCAGAGTCTCTGAATCATCTGGATGTAGCTCAGACTGTGGCTTCTGCACATTGATAGCGTCACCCCTCTTGCAAATGGAGACAACAGTGGCTTGTACCACTTCCATGTGACCTATGGCTTCCTTGGGGAGTTGTGATGCCAATAGTAGTATAAAAATAAGACTGTTGCTACTCCTTTGGGCATTCCTAATTTGAGATTAACATAGCATGTCATCCAGAAATGAAAAAGGCTATTTTGAATGGGATGCATCATGATGCACAAAAGATTTATTGGGGCAGAAGGTGAAAACAATGAACCCTTATGATAAGCAGGGTGTGATCCCACTGGCCAGTCATACCACAAACAGCTCATGCTCAATAGTGACAAAGGATGCATCATTTAGGTTGCAATTATCCGAGTCCATCTCTAGGTGGAGTTGGTCAGCCAAGGCCACAGGAACATTGTTTTTGCCATGCAGAGGCTGGAAGCCAGGCTGGCAGGAATCCAGAAAGCTGATGGAATCCAGGTGTGCCTGAAGTGATCAGGCTACTCCTCACTCAGAAACCTTCCCCAAAAAGGGAAAGTTCAAAACAAGGTAGTAGCTGTTTGGAGAATCTGCATCCTGGTCTGTGTTTGTTTTTCTTCAGAGCAGAAACTAAGCAACCACAGATTTGATGCCATAAAATAGTATCTAACAAATCCTTCTCGCTTTTTGTGGCTGGATTTTATTAACTTTGAGTGGACATTGGTCCCATTTTAAAGTGATTACTTGGGAGGAATGAAGTTGAAGGAGATTTAAAAGTTGTAACAGTTACAGTTGTAACGACTAAACAACAACAACAACAACAGTTACTTGGAAAATGGGGGTGGTGGAATAAGATAATAAAATGAAGGGTCCCCACTGTTATGTTGAACAGGTTTCTGTTTAACTAACATTAAAGTTATCTGACACAATCTCTTTCACCCATTTTCACATGCCACCTCCCTTAATCCTTTCCCCCTTAGGCTGATGAGATGGCTACTCTACTCTGACCACTCCACATGTCCCTTGACCTCCTGACTCCCAGTTGCCTTCTCCCCCGTTTTTATTGCCTTTCAACCACTATGTCATCAGCCAGTTTTTCTCTGTCCCTTTCCTTATTGAATGCAAACATGCCATCACCTTTCCTATTCTAAAAGACAACAACCCACAACTGAGAACGGGTTTTACTTCGCTAACCAGCAGCCAATTCACCATCTGTGAAAGAACTTCATTTGCCAAATCCAAAGGTTGGTACTCTGGCATTCATCCATGTGCCAGAAGTGGTTTAGTCCTGCTGGCCACATGACCTGGAAAAGCTGTCTGCGGGACAAACGCCGGCTCCCTTGGCCTGAAGCAAGATGAGTGCCACACCCCATAGTCAAATTTGACTGGACTTAACCATTCAGGCGTCCTTTACCTGGGCTACCTTTGATAGAGTTGATCATCCTCCTCAGCTTGACTTCATCTGTGTTGTAGATATCCATGACTATTCTTAACTGTTTCTTCCCCTTCCTGCCTGATCACTGATTTGTTCCCACTGGGCGAAGCTCCTCTTTAGCCTTTCCTTTCTCTGATTGATTCCTCAAGGTTCTTTTCTTGGTTTTCTTCTATTCCTATTCCACTCTTTTCTTTGTGGGGGGGACTCCATAAAGGCAAATTATTTTCAGTATCCTATGACAACATCTAGCTATAGATACCATTTCTTCCCCTCTGTCTAGTGCCCCTCTCTCTGCCTGCTCGTTGTGTGTTTCCTCTCACTTGTTATGGCTAAATCTCTTGTTCATGCCTTGGTCTTTCTTACCCCTCCAGATATCATTCTTATTTCTATCCCAAACTCTTCTGTGAGAATCTGTCACTTCTGTCTCCCATACTTTTCTGTTTAATTTTGTATAGCAAAATTAACCTTTTGTAAAAGGTAAGAGTGGTGGGGATAAATGGGCCAATTTCAGATTGGAAAGAAGTAGAAGCCGGTGATAGTTTGGCTGTGTGCTGTTCATGCCTTGGATTAAGGATGAGGTGTGGCTTGGCAGGGTTGCACACTTTACGCAAAATGTGGACCATGACATTGGTGTGCTTTGAGAGGGACTGAAATCATGAAAAATCAAGCTACTGTGTTGGGTGCATCCTCAGTTCCCTCTCTTTCTACCAGTACATGGGTTGTGATATCCTGGTAGAACGAGTAAGAAAGCACCAGGTATTTCTTGCTGCTGCCCATGTGACAGCTGCTAGTCATGCAGGAATCCTGGAAGCATCACAGTTGCTAGAAAGTACAGTTTTAATCAAGGAAAACTTTGCCCCAGGTATCAGAAGTGTGGGAAATCCTGCTAATGAGTAATATATAAATAATATTTCAAAAGATTAACAGTTTTCAAACTGATGTTTAAAATGAAGCTGTCTCCTTGTTTATTAAGGTAAGGAAAAGCAATGGCAATATAAAATAATACTGTGTGTTTGGTGAATATCAGCTCTCCCTCCATGTCTTGTGATACTCCACTTCTTGCTTTGACAGAAGAAAAACTCCATCAGAAGCTTCTGGCAACCTTTTCTATTCATTAGCTGACAGCACTCAATTCCTACACGAACAAATTGGGACAGAAAGAGCATTTGGAACAGAGAAGTAAGATGTTACGGACCTGCACCATGTTGCATTCAGGAACAACCAAAGGGATGTTACCTGTCTCCATTGCTAAAGTGCTTCAAAGTGGGGGCAGTAAAGGACATTTTTCTGGTTTTCTGGTTCTTATGTTGTTGTTACTGAAGTGTGCCTGCCATATCTGTCTGGTTGGTTCCCATGTAAATGGGAAGTGATCAGATATTCCACATGGTTCTTGGCACACACCTACAAATGCTTTTGTCATGGCAAGTGTCTCTACCTACTTCTTGCAGTGAATATGGCAAGCCCACTTGTAGTGGGGGAGGGGGGTTGGAGGATTGGGGGCAGAGGACGACCCTGCAGCCGTCCTGTGTTCTGGATAGGCTCCTAGCACATTGGAAAATAGCTTCCCTCCCCCAGTCTCAATTATTGGAGGGAGCCTGGGGCTCTTCAGTGTCGCGCTGCTCTTTTGGAGCCACGCTTAGTGCAGCATTCTCCAGGCCACTTCTTGAACTTGGAACTGGGGAAGGGAACAGGGGCTTGTCTGTAACCTCATGTTGAGCTCCAGAGGCACTTGGAACCCCTTCCAAACTCAGAATGATGTTAGAGCCATCTGACATTCTTCTGGTGGTGTGGGTAGTGGACTCCTTTCCATGCCACCAGGAAGTGTGAGAAGATGCAGGCCATGCAGAAGGGGCCTTCCAGAAACCGGAACAATGTTGTTCTGAGAGGGCCTGCAGCACAGGCTCCTCCCATGTGGCACAAGGCTTTTCCTGCTGCCTTGGTGATAGAGGAAGGAACTCTCTGCAGCAGCTCTTTCATCAGCATCATGTAAGAAGAGGGCCATTGTTACTGAATGAGGAATGGTGGTTTTTTTCTGTGCAGGTTGTAGCAGTCCTGCTTGTGTGAGCTATTGAACGTATGCTTTGGTTTTATAAAATCAGGTTTTCCCCCCTTACATTTTCACTTGGAATCTCAAGAGTAAGCTTATATTTTGATTCTGTTGGTGTGATGTCACTAGTTTCTCTTTTCATAGCCCTGTATATGCCTATTGTATTGTCTATGTGTGTCTGGCTGTACAATTTGTGGGAAATAATTGAATTTAAATGAGACTGATTTGCCTGTTATTTATTTATTGTGAACAGTGTGTGTCTCTGTGTGTGTGTCTTTTAAACTTTTTGACAGAGAGAAAAACTTTAATAAAGTGTGCCTCCTGAGTACTTCTTCTGTAGGAGTCTGTTCTTTTAGGAAATTCAGTGAGGCTTATCCATGCGAACGGCATGGCGTATCAAAATTATGTCTTAAATCGGTATTTATACATAAGTGTGTCACAATCAGCCTTCTCAAAAAAGCTTTGCCACATTTCTTTCATGAGGTACATTCAGTATGTCACATTGTTCTGGCCACTGACTGCCAAATTACACACTGAATGCAAACGTACGTAACTGTAGCTCTTAG